AGGGCCAAATGAAAACACAATTCTAATCCATTGCTTGCGTTTTATGCACGTCCTGCTCTCTTTATAAGAAAAGTCTGGCGTCGTCTGAGATTGGGGGCTATTCCTGTTACAGAACAAACTCACAATTTAATTCCGACAGAGGCTGATAATTAGATGATAAAGAGGATTTTATTCTAACACAGAATTGGAACCGAGAGATAACAGAGCCAGACGGATGTGATTTCCTCACAGAGCGAGAGACACATTCTATAATAACACAATATTCTGCTACACATTAACCTCTTCTCTGCTTCAACAAGCACAGATAGAGAGCACACACAATGGCATACGAGGGAATATTCTAAACCGTAATCACATTAACCTATTCATGGCTGGTATTGGAGGAGATAGGGAGCGCACACAATGGCATACGAGGGAATATTCTAAACCGTAATCACATTAACCTATTCATGGCTGGTATTGGAGGAGATAGGGAGCGCACACAATGGCATACGAGGGAATATTCTAAACCGTAATCACATTAACCTATTCATGGCTGGTATTGGAGGAGATAGGGAGTGCACACAACCGTGTATAAGGGAAACAACTATAAGTATATTGTGGCCAACAGAACCTCGCCACGGGCTGCTATAACGGAATCAACTATAACTTAATCCCATTGTGGGGAGATCACAGAATGGTGTATGAGGGAATCAGCTTGTAGTGGGACCTGGGTAACCCCGCTATTAATAATTACCCAGACACATTTCCCCCAGTAACTGGACAACACACAGTTCCAGGGTACAACCTTTTTCAATCTTTATTGAGAACAGGCTTCTTTTACGCACAGACCCCCTCTCCATCTAACACAACACAATCCCAGGCAGGAGGGGGGGCTGGGTTACAGATGACCATCTCCTGCTCTGGGAGATCCCAACAGGGTGCAGGGACACACGAGAACACATTACATACAGGGGGGTGAACTTTGGGGTTCGGTGCCCCGGCAGGGACGTATTAGCCGCGAGGCAAACAAGGCATTTGCCTTGGGCTGCATTTTCCAGGGGGCGGCAAAAAACGCCGCCCCCAAATACCCAGGGCAAATGTCTTGTTAGCCTTGCGGCTAACAGACATGGTGGGCTGCTGGTCGGCACTGGTGGGTAGCTGGTGAAGGAGCTCTTCCTCTGAGCGGTCTGCTCAGCTCCCTCGCGCGCTGCAGAGTGAGGCTGGGAGCAGGTATATGTCAGGTATATGTCATCGACGTCATCGACCCGGCTCCCAGCCTCAGAGTGCTCAGGGGAAGTGCTCCCTCGCCAGTCGCCCGCCCAGCAGCCACTGGATCCCCAGGGAGAAAGAGAACCCCCCCCTCCCCAGCATTCCCAAAGGTAAGGAGGCTGGGGGGGGAAAACATTGTTAATGTGAGTGAGTGTGTGTGTCTGTTAGTGTGTGTCTGTTAGTGAGTGTGAGTGTGTCTGTTAGTGTGTGTGTCTGTAAGTGTGTGTGTGTGTCTGACTGTGTGTGTGTGTGTTAGTGTGTGTTAATGTGTGTGTCTGTTAGTGTGTGTGTCTGTTAGAGAGTGTGAGTGTCTGTTAGTGTGTATCTGTTAATGTGTGTGTTAGTGTGTGTGTCTGACTGTGAGTGTTTGCCAGTGAGTGTGTTTGTCTGTTAGTGTGTGTGTGTCTGCTAGTGTGTGTGTGTGTTAGTGTGTGTCTGTTAGTGAGTGTGTCTGTTAGTGTGTGTATTTCTGTTAGCGAGTGTGTGTTTCTGTTAGCTAGTGTATGCGTATCTGTCAGTGAATGTGTGTGTGTATTTAGAAGGCGGGGCGAGGGGGGTGGAGGGGGGCGCCTGAGTTTTGTCCTGCCTAGGGCAGCACAAAACCAGGATACACCACTGTGACCCGGGAAGGGGTTACAGGGTGGAATCCATGCAAAATGCGGGGTGATCGGATGTACAGAGCCCCAGATATCAGCATCCCAAATCTGGGGCTTAAAGATCTATACATCCCCGAAATTGGTTCCATGGTGTTGCTTGGTTTTGTGCGGTGAATTCAAACTTCGTGCCCAAACCAAGCAACAACCAGCTGAAATGACGCGAACCATCAACCAAATCGCGCTAAATAGCGCTCGGGGGAGGAAGGAGTTTCGCTTGCGGTCTGCGTTTTTCACACTTCGTTAGTGAGGTGTGAACATTCTAACCACACATTCTAAATGGGGTATCGGGGTGGTCTGGCGCAAGCTCCCCCGTGTGGTTGAAAAGTAATTTGCATGGTTTAGTGTAAAAATTACAAAAGCGGAAAAATCACAAAGGGGAAACAATCATTTAAGGAAAGTATATCTACAAATATGAGAAGGCAATTCACGGTTATGCAGCGGTCCCGCCACACAACTATAACTATATAATCACATTAACCTCTTCATGACTGGTAGAGGAGGAGATTTGAAGATCACAGAATGGTCTATGAGGGGGGCGGAGCCTGGCACTGAACCGGACCGGACGCCATTTCTCCCAGCTCCAGGGAACAAATACACAATCCTCAGGATATCTTAATAACAAGCCCCCATCCGACCCTGCAAATACTAGATACAATCTGGGGACACCCCGCTGAACCCACAGATGCCCTTCCAGTATTCCCCGAAGCACCTAAAGGTAAAACGCAAAACCGGGGCCTACCTCAAGCCCTCATACCGCGACCTCGAGTATCTCTGGGGCGGAGACCCTGAGGGAAACGCAGCAGAACTGTGGCCGACACAAACGGCCCCTGCCAACACGCCTATGGGGCGCAGAAACCAGAAATCCACACCAGGTAATGCACCGGAACAGAGGGACATCGGAGCCATGCTCCAGCGGCACACCTCAACCAAGATGGCGGCCGCCGAATACCCACCTTCACCAGGGTCTCCCCACACAGCTGCCCCTACAACATCCCAGCTACAGAGCCCGGCGGAAGATACACAGCAGCAGCCCACAGCATCAGCTGGTAACACTGAGCCTGCAACCAAACAAGACCTCCAGATACTACACACCATGCTACAAGACATTCAAGGCCTACTTACTGCTGACCTGCCCATCCTCAAATCCTCCCTGCAACAACTCACAGGCAGACTGGAGGCAACTGAAGCAGATGTTAAAGTGCTCCACCAAGACACCTCCAGCATGCAGACAACTATAACCCAACTACAGGCAGCCCACCAGGCTCTATCACTGCAGGTGGCAGCACAGGAGGACAGGTACCGCTGCAACCACGTCAAGATAAGGGGCATTCCAGCAGCCGTCCCTCAGGAGGAGCTGCCACACTACGTGAGAAGGCTACTAGCCACAGTGTTGCCACCCACCACTGCAAAAAAAAATAAACATAGCCGGGATGTATCGCCTTCCGACGACCACCACCACAACCGCAGGCGACGTCATACTCCGATGCGCACTGCCTCAAGACAAGGGGCAAATAATGACAGCGGTAAGGAACAAGACCCCGCTCACATTTGAGGACTCACAATTGTCCTTTTACCAGGACCTATCCAAAGCCACTTTGCAGTGGCGAAAATCCCTGACCTCTGTCACCACCCGACTACGGGCTGCAGGAGTACCCTACAGGTGGGGACCCCCACGATCCCTCCTTGTCACACACAAGGGGACCACACGAAAACTAACCGCAGAGACTGATATCCCAGCGTTCCTCGCAGCTCTAGATACGCAGGAGGCAACAGGGGCCCCATCGGACTCAAATCAAGCCCACGGATGGGACCCATCCAATGTGACACCATTTGTGCCAAGATCTGCAGCCGTCGGCCCGCCGGACACCTGACTGGAAGGGTCGCTTTCAGCCCCGACCCAAACCCACTGGAGGGACTCATTTAACCAACAGCTTTAGGCTGCATAGTTGCAGAATTACAAAGTTTTATTGCTATGACTTTGCTCACATATTTTTACAGTATTCTATTTTTCCTTGTATATACTTTTGTTTATTATTGCAACACCACCCACACGAAATCACGATCTGCTGACCTTGGTCACCCAGAACAGGGAGATCAGGCCCACCAGACCATAACCAGGCATTTATGACGCAATGCCATCTATGGCCCTAGTCCGGTTCTATACAGCCACACACACTCAGTCACGTATCGCCAACATCCCCCCCCCCGCTTCCCCCTTGGTCAGGGGCAACACCTTCACGGAGAGGTTAGCCATGCACTAAGGCAGTCATCTCCCCCCCCCTTTTTTTTTTTAAAAACGAGGAGGGCAGCACTCACGCCACTACCTCCCTGACACAGAATCAGCGAGATCTAACTGAAGACCAGCACATGGTCTCAAACCTGCTATCACGTTTAATCAGGCCCACCAACGGTGGCTCCACCCCTCACTACCTACCAGAGCATGGTATACCCCTCTACTTGCTACACTCGTATATAGCTGCCGGTATATGCCTTGATCTCTACCTAGAAGCAATTACATCTAGACTACAAGTCTATATGTATGTATATAGAACCCTCATCCACCGGCAAGCTGTGAACAGCGTACCGTTTCAATACCCAGATTGAATCGTAGAGTCTCGTAATCATGGCCAGCGCATAGCCTATGGTAGTATCCTCTCCACTCCTTTCCCACTTCAAGCGCTGTACACTACTTCTCATTGATGTTTTCCTTCCCCTTTTAAAACAGAAAAAAAGGTGCAGCAATCTCGACATGTATAGCAACACTTCTTGTAACATTTTGTACTGCTCTCTCCTGACATGTTAATGTTTCCTATGTACTTAACAATGCACTACCAAAATAAAGAATTTTAAAAAAAAGAATGGTCTATGAGGGAATCAACTATAACTATATAATCACATTAACCTCTTTATGGCTGGAGTAAGAGGAGTTGGATGGAGGAGGCAATGGTATATGAAGAGATCAAATATAACTTACATTAACCTCATAAAGTCTGGAATTAAGAGAGAGGTGGGGAGAGTACCCAAAGGTGAGGAGATAAAATATAACTTAATCACATTAACCTCTTCACTGCTGAAATTAGAGGAGAAAAGGAGATGAGGGGGTATCAAAACTTCTTCACTGCTGGAATTACAGGAAATGTGAACGTACATGACATTAACCTCTTCAATGCTGGAATTAAAGGAAATGTGAGAGCACATGACATTAATATCTTCACTGCTGGAATTAAAGGAGATGTGAGCGCACATGACATTAACCTCTTCACCGCTGGAGTTAAAGGAGACGTGAGCACACATGGCATTAACCTCTTCACCGCTGGAGTTAAAGGAGACGTGAGCACACATGGCATTAACCTCTTCACTGCTGGAGTTAAAGGAAATGTGAGCACACATGACATTAACCTCTTCACTACTGGAATTAAAGGAAATGTGAGCGCACGTGACATTAACCTTTTAATTGCTGGACTTAGAGCATTAAAGAGAGAGCACAGATGATTCATCCTTCACTGTTTTACTAAGTACAAACATTTATTACATAAATTCTTTCATTATAAACCAACACTTAACATCAAGGATGTTTCAGGGGAACATGTATGTACGTAGTGGGGAATTTCGATACCACATAACATAGATAACCCCAATAAACCCCCCCCCCAATAACGACAGACAACTTAGTATGGATGAACAGGCCACAGCATTCATTACAACATAAATAAATTACTGCATAACACATCCATAACTTCATTTATTAAACTCTTTCTGTTAGAAATAAATAATCATAAATTAACATATATACATATAATAACAAAAAGTGCTATGCATAAACCCAACCGTCCTTGCCAATAAACATCCAGTGGTTCCTAATCACCACTTCCTCTCACCTCCCCCCTCGTCATAAAAAAATCCTTCCAATGCCCACCATCAGCCGACCTTATCCACGCTCGATGGGCACGATACCTCAGGCAACCTAATGTTTAACCTTTTAAGCAGGGGAGGTTGAGACCTGTAAAACATAAAAACTTAGTCCATCCTTAGACATAACCCTTCAAACTTGATTGGCAAGGACATACCCCGGCCACCAGACCCGCTGCTTTACCCCTAAATCAGCAGGGAACCCCACCAAAACCTCCCATGGCCTGTTCCACAGCTTCTTGAAGGGCGAGATTGAAAAGGTCGAGCCCGACCTCCGTTAGGTGTACCCCGTTGTTGGGGAAAATATTATGTATATATCTGTTTAATATGTGCTTGATTAAGTCTGTGTGTATGGGAGGTCAGGAATTATCTTCAAAGGGAGTTTCTGTTTAGATAGTTGGAAAGATACAGCACCTGAAAGGCACCAATCACATTTACATATCAACTGGTCAAAGGAGTCCCTATCTAGGAAAACACACCTTGGGTTAGAGGCAAAGGGATGGCTGGGAAAGTTAACACTTAAATAAAATAACAGGATAGACAACACTTTGGGCCTTGGGAAAGTAAATCACATTTCCATGTCAAATTGAGCTGAGGAATTGGCTATTTACAACATGGGAACCAATTCCTTTAAAAATAGAAGATACTGACATCACATTAGATCAGGTTTGGTAAGACACACAAGCTGCACTTAACATGCACAGCACATACACAATGTAGCCAATATTATTATACACAATGTAGCTAATATTATTATACACAATGTAGCAGATATTATTATACACAATGTAGCCAATATTATTATACACAATGTAGCAGATATTATTATACACAATGTAGCAGATAGTATTAGATAGATGGAATGTCTGAGTGTTATGAATGTATTGTAACTGTAATACTAGAACTCTGTAACATTCTTCTTCTGTACTATTGAATTGGGCAGATTCTAAGTAAAGATTTCTCTCTGGTAAGAACTATGGTGTTGGCTGTTTATTTGTAATATCGGGTAGAATACCTTAGTAGTTCTAGTCGTATATTTATCTGGATAAGGGGATAAAGATATATGTTAGTTCTTGGAAGAGGTGACACAGGGATATTACATTCACTATTAAAAACACAACGCAGAGTGGATTTCTCTCAAAAGGATACCAATTGGAAGTATTGGTGGTGAGAGAAGGATTATACAACATAATTGGTGCCGTGACCGTGGCCGGAAGATTTATTTCTTCAGAATCTGCCTAGGATCCAAGTTTTAACATCAACGTATTTGGTTCTGTGACTGTCAGCCAGAAGAGGTTTCCAGTGTCTGCATAAAGCTTGGTGAGTATATTTGTTATTTATTCTATTGCTGCAGTGTATATTTTTAATATGGCATGTAAAAAGGTAGATGCAAAAATGGCTTGTTCAGAAAATGTTAAACAATGGCTTATGAATTATATTAAGAGACATGGTGGTCCTTATGAAATCTCTCAGGACTGTAAACAGTCATGGGAAAAGATGCAGGAGTTTTTAGGAGAAATGTTATTTGATAAAAATGTTTCTGATAAAAAAAGAAAAGGGTGTATTATGCAAGCATTGCTATCATGTTGTTTAAAATTAGAGGGATTTGTAAAAATAAAGGAGGATGAAATGGCAGAGCTAAATTCAGTAATTAACATGAAATCTGAGAAATTGAATAATAAAATTGTAGATCTAAGAGTGCATGCAGTTACAACTGGTGAAGCTTTGATTGAAAAGGCCAAAAGGTGTGAGGAGCTTACAGTGGAGAATGAGAGGCTGAATGGGAAAATTTTGGAGATGCAAAAAGAATTGGATGAATGCAGACATGCTACTAATATGGCTTTTAATAAAATGGCAGAAAGCATGGCACCTTCGAGTAGGTCTCCGGTATCTGAAATTCCAGGGTCTATTGCTAACCCAGGCATTGGAGATACAGGATACAAACCCCTTTATCCATGGGAGGATTTGAAACAAAAGTCAGTGACAAATCTCCCTGCGGCTCCAACTACAACAACCACAGTGTTGAATCCTGATAATTCTGGAGAGATTCAGCTGGTTACTAAGCAGTTGAAGCCACAAGAAATGGATGCTATAGTTAGAGAAATAGGGCAGGTCCCTCAGCAGGATATCAATCGCTTTTTGCAATGGTTTTGTGGATTTCAAAGAGTGAAAGAGATGTATAGTTTGACAACTAGTGATATGGAGAGGGTGCTGCAGAGAGTTGTTGGAAATGGATTGTGGGTCAGGATTGTACAGACATGTGGTCAGCAGCGTAGAACTAGGGATATGTTGAAAGAGATCTTGAGAGCACTTTATGGAGTTACATCAAATGTGTCATTGTCTGGAAAAATTAAACAGCTGAAACAAGAGTCTCCGTATGAATTGTCAGCTAGAATCTCCACAGTGATGGAACAGTTTGGTGTCAGTAATCCTGGTTTTGAAGAGGGAGGGCTGGTGCATAGATCAATGTTTTTGGATGCATTAGAGGAGGATGTTAAAGATGAGATATTATCTGTAACCCCAAACCCATCAGAAATGTGTGATTTACTGTTAAGAGCTGATAATTTGTGGCGAAGAAAGGTTAAAAATGAGAGTTTTGCTGTAGATGCTGCAAGGATTTTCAGAGTAGAGGGGCCAGAGAGGAGAGATAGGTCTGCCATGTATCCTCAGAAACCATTAAGGGGAAATAGATTTCAGCATATAGGAAATTCTAGAGGTGAGAATGAATCTGGTAGTGAAAAGAAGGCAAAGAGTGATACATTTGTAAAACCATGGGTTCCTTTCCATGAAATTAAAGATGAAAGAGATCGGTTAAAGGAAGAATTGAACAAGGTAAAATATGAATTGGATAAGATCAAGAGGGCAGAGTCTAGGGTGGCTACTGTGGAAGATAGTAAGGTAATGCATCCAAAAGAATCCCTTGAGTGTTAGGAAATCCGAGCCTTGTCATTTCTTAACAAATCTGACCTTAGATCCTTGGGGGCGACCCACTGTTGATGTTTCATTAGGGGGTACTCGAGTACAAGCGCTGTTAGATAGTGGGGCAGCTGTAAGTTTCAGCAAGCATGTGAAACCAGGAAATGAGAAAATTAGAATTACAGGCATTACAGGTCATTCCATTTAAGCTCCTTTTGTACGTGATGTGGAAATGCAGATTGGAGAGAAAAATTGGAGGTGTGATGTTGTATGTCAAGATCAAGACATTATAGGAGCAGATGTTTGTTGTGAACAAGGGCTGATTGTGGATTTGGCTAATTTAAAACTGTGGAAAATGGAAGGGAATGGAAATACAGGTCATGTATGGCACCCTCCTATGGAACTAGTAACAGCAACAGTGAAACCAGTGGGGGAAGTAATAGGCTCTTGGGACCATACCTGGGATGATTTAATGAATGCATTTCAGGACGTAATTGATAAACACAGACAGGATTGTGGCAAAATGAATACAATGGTGTTATTGGAGGGCAGTGACCCACCAACCCAAAAACAATATCCAGTACCTAGAGAAGCTATTCAACCGATCAGAGAAGTGATTAAACAATTAGAAGCACAGGGAACTTTGATAAGGGGTGCATCTGTGTGTAATTCAGCAGCCTGGCCAGTGGCTAAACCTGACAGCACATATAGACTAACAATTGATTACCGTATTTTGAATAGGCATTAAAAAAGTATGGCCCCTGTTGTTGCAGCTTACCCAGAAATGATTGGCAAAATAACTCCAGATATGAAGGTGTTTTCAGTGGTGGATATTAATAACGGTTTTTGGAGTATTGGTCTTGAGCCGAGTTGTCAATATAGGACTGCTTTTACTTGGGAAGGGATCCAGTACATGTGGACAGTTCTACCTCAGGGTTATAAAGATAGCCCAGCCATTTTTCATGCCCATATGAAGGAAGTGGTAGATAGATTTTCAAAGTCAGAAAGGATTGTTCAGTATGTGGATGACATTTTGCTAGGTTCTCCTTCAATGGAGGAGCATAAAAATGATGTCCAAGAATTGTTGCAGCTTTTGAGAGAAGCAGGATTAAAATTAAATCCTAAAAAAATACAGCTTGGAAAAGAGCAAGTTCAATTTCTTGGGGTTACCATAGGGAAGTCAGGGCGGAGTGTTAATGAACAAAGAGTAGAGTTGATTGGGAAAATTCCTCTACCTACAGATGAACGTTGCTTAAGGCAATTCTTTGGTATGACTGGATTTTGCAGAGACTTTGTTCCTCAGTATGCAGAAATGACTGAGTGCTTATATGATCTTTTGAAAAATAATGAGTGGAAATGGGAGGCAGAGCATACACAGGCTATAGCGACTCTAAAACATGCATTGGGAAATGCCCCAACTTTAGCTGCCCCTGATCCAAATAAAGAATTCAGGATGTATCCACATGTTGGCCCCACATCATTGTCAGTTGTTTTGACTCAAGAGTGTTTTGGAAAACAAAGACCTATAGCTTATGCATCAAGGTTGTTGACACAAGTGGAACAAAAGTATCCTTTGTGCACTAGAATGGTATTATGTTGCTATTGGGCAATAAACAAATTCACATATTTAACTGGGACCCAGACTGTTGTAATTGCTAGTCACCATACTCCTTTAGTTTTGCTAGCAAATGGAAAATGGAAAGAAGGTGATGTAAACAGTAAAAGACTTGCAAGATGGACTACAGCTTTATTATCAGAAAACATAAAAGGATTGATGTTGAAAGAGCCTAGCGTGTTGGTGGGAGAGCTCCATATAGAGGGTGAACCTCATACATGTAAAGTCTTTGGAGTTAGTTTACAACATGATGTGTTCAAAGCTGTATCAGAACCCTTTGATCCCCTCACAGAATGTTGGTACATTGATGGGTCATCATATTACAAAGATGGCCATAGGATAGCAGGATGTGCTGGTATATGTGTGAAAGAGGGTCACATTCAGGATCAGTTTGCATTTTCGTGTAAGGCCGTGTCAGCACAGTATGTTGAAATAGCTGCACTGTTGCAAGTTCTTAAGAAATTGGAGGAATATGGTGGTGTTGTTAATATTGTTTCTGATTCAGATCAGGTATGTAAAGGAGCTGCAGTGTATCTACCATGGTGGAAAATGATGGGTTTCAAAGGAACGGATGGCAGTGAGATAAAGTATGCGTCGTTATGGCAAGCCATAGAGGAAAATGCTAAATATTTTGTTAAAGTCAATATCAGGAAGGTGCAAGCTCATAGAAAGGAGACAGTAGAACATCACCATAATAACAAAGTTGACAAACTGGCAAAAGAGGCAGCAGAAGCTGCCCTTGAATGGCCTTTATTAACAGCAATGACTTCAATACCTGTAGCTGCTATAACAAGGGCACAGGCAAAAGAGACAAAGGAGAGGACAGGTGAATTGGCTAAACTACAAGAACAAGATGAGGAAATAGGAGCACTGAGAAAATCTTGTGAGGCAGGACCAATAGTCTATAAAGGGCAGGAGTTGTATTTAAAAGAAGGCCTGCTTGTCACAGACAGGAAGGATTTTCCAGTTTGGTTTGCTCCAAAAGGGGTGAGAAAAGATATTCTCACGTGGATTCATGGCTCTCCTGTAGGAGGGCACCCAAAGCTCCAGTTAGCAAGTGAAAGATTAGACCATGTAGCTTGGTGGCCTCAAAATATTGTACATATGGAGGATCACATACAATCCTGCTTAGAATATGCTAGACATGATCCTACTAACAGGAAAAGGAGGGGGGCTTTGATGAGACAGGCACCCATGGGACCATGGGAACGTATTCAAATTGATTATACTGGTGAACTACCGAATACTGTCCACCAAAATAAATACATTCTTATGGTAGTTGACTCATTTAGTCATTGGGTAGAGGCATTTTCAACAAAAAATTGTACTGCGATCAATACAGCCAGAATACTTGTGAAAGAAATTTTCAGCAGGTGGGGAATTCCAAAGGTTATGGACAGTGATAGTGGACCAGCCTTTATTAGTAATGTCATAGCGGAAACATGTAACTTACTGGGAATAATTCACAAGTTTCAAATATTCTATCACCCAGAATCTTCTGGTCAGGTTGAAAGAATGAATAGGACTGTAAAAGATGCATTAAAAAAGGTTGTGAATTCACAAGGAACAGACTGGGATGAAAAATTACCATTTGTTCTATCAACTATTCGTTCCAGAGTGTGCAGATCAACAGGGTTTGCCCCTTATGAAGCTTTATTAGGGAGAACTATGAGGACTTGGGAACATTTACTAAATCCTCTCCCACCCACCCTAGACACAGTAGCATTATCTGAAGCCTGGGTTGGAAATCTGAAAGAGCATATTTTGACAGTACATAAATCTCTATGTGCTACCGATGAATGCACTCACAAGGCCACTCAAAAATGGTTTAATGCAAAAGGGGATATAACAGAGCATCAGATTGGAGACAGAGTAATGTTGCAAGATTTTTCCCCTCACCACCCATTTCTAAAACCAAAATGGAAAGGTCCATATATTGTGCTTGACAAAATTGGACCCTCTGTGTATTTGTTAGATGTGGGAGATGAGAACTTTAGATGGACACATGCATGTCAAATAAAAGCCTTTAGAGGAAAAAATGATGGGCTGAGTTAATGTAAATGTTAACATATTCTCTTAGTTCTCTTTTCCAGATAATAGGAGATGGAGTGGATCCCTGGAAGAGCAGCTCACATAAGGAATATGAAGTGCAAGAAAACAGCTGTCGTGATGTGGTGGTTATGTGTATCGTTTTCTATGTATATATTGTATAGCTTAGGAAAAGGGAATGTCATGATGAAGAATAACAATAAAATGGTACATCAGAGTACTCCAGTAGAGGGTTATCATAGGGAGAAAAGGAGTTCAGAAGATTCAGAGAATATCATAGTAACATTAAAAGTAAAGGAACAATCACCTGAAGTTACATGTAAAGATAATCTTACAGTGGTTGGGCCTATAGGGGGGGTGGATAGTGATACAATGTAATATTTAAATGCCTGAAACTAACCTTCCCTCTGAATTTGCAGTTTGGAAATATCCAGGAGGAAGTGATTTACATAAGAGTACAAGTATATTTTGGGCCAATACCACAAATGAAATGAGAATAAAGATGCTGCTGGAAAGAAATTTAAAATTTTCCCAGGATGGTGTTGTAACATGCAGCCCCCATCAGACTGGATTACATGATACAGTTGACCCAGCAATTAACATAAGAATTATAAATTCTCAGGACTGTCCAACTACCACCCTGTGGCCAGAGCATGGCCTTTTCTTACAACCAACACAAACTGTTGTGTATACTGATGTATCTTATGTAACATTACCATTATTGTTAAATTTTTCATTATTTAATATACCAGAGAGTTGCCCAGAGATGATGAAAGAATGGTTTAAAAATTTATTTCAAGCACATATTAATCTATTCTGGGATGCAACACAAGGGCTCAAGTTTAGAGAGAGAGAAAAAAGGGATCTGGGTACTGATATAATCTCAGGACTCAGTTTGGGAACATCAATTTGGAATAGGGCAGACATAGAGGGTCTTAACTCAAATTTATGTTAATGGGTTGCAGCAAATTATGCTCAAAGAGGGACGAGTGGATTTTAACACTCTAGCTGAAACTGATGTCACGATACAGAACATTCACACAGTTGCTGCAGATTTGCAGTGGATTAATATATCTGTGAATGCTCTCAGAGAATCAGTTAATAACAATAATGTATCTAAAGCTATGGTATGTGGTATAGTTGGAAATTTACTAGAACATCTAAATTTAGGCCTCCAAGAAATAAAACGAGTGGAATGGCCCAGAATAATCAATTCTACCCTAGTCTTTGATCTGGTTGGGGAATATGGCATAGATTGTCAGAATGTAGTCATTTCCAAAATTAAAGGTCTGCAGAGTTGGTGCAATAAGTGCAAATTAGGAAAAAAGGTACTTCCATTAATAATTGACAT